TTTTAATGAGAACTTAGGCTCTTGCCTCAGACCATATCCAATTAATCAACTCAAAATGGATCAGAGAACAATATACAAGAACAAAAACTATAAACTGTGAGAAGAGAAAACCAGTGTAACCTTGGATTGTTGTTAAGTGCCATCAAATTGGTTACCACTCATAGCGACCCTGTATAGGGTTTCCAAGACTTTATATCTTTCTCCTGTGGACTAGTGGATGGACTAGAATCATGAACCTTGTGGTTCAAAGTCCAGTGCTTATCACAAAGATTTGATAACATATGACAATAAAAGCATGACTATTAAAAATTGATAAATTAAACTTGATCAAAACGATGAACTCTTGATCTTCAGAACAGTCCATTATAAAATGAAAAGATAAGTTACAGCTTGGAAACAAATATGAGGGGGATACTGCTGTTCATCACAGCACTATTAACAATAGCAAAAACATGGAGACACGACAAATCCCAATCAACGGAATAATGGGTAAACAAACTTTGGTACAACAAACAACAGACTACTATGCAGCATTGAAGAATAATGATAAATCTGCGAAACATCTCATAACATGGATGAATCTGAAGGACATTATGCTGAGTAAAATTAGTCAATCACAAAAGGACAAATAATGTATGAGATCACTATTGCAAAAACTGAAAAAAAAAAAACATTTTCATGCTAAAACAAACATTCTTTGAGGGTTACGAGGGGTGGGCGGGAAAAGAGAGTAGTTCCCTGGCTAGAGGTTAGATACAATATATAAGAGGGAGGTTGGCAGAAAAATAATGAAAAGAGGTGAAGACACATGGAGGTATGCAAGGTCTATAGGAGATATATAGAGGTGGTTGTTGTTGTTATGTGCCGTGAAGTCAGTTCCGACTCATAGCGACCCTATACAGAGTTTCTGAGGCTGTAAATCTTCAGTGGAGCAGAAAGCCTCATCTTTCTCCTGCGGAACAGCCGGTAGTTTCAAACTGCTGACCTTGCTGTTCACAGCCCGATTCGTAACCACTACGCTACCAGAGTTTCTTAGGAGATAGAGGTAAATAGTGATATATACACAACTTCAGAATACAGGTCAAACAGGT